GTGTCAGCTCTGCTGGGAAGACCACCTGGTCAGGACCTGGGCTTCGCTGGCTGGCTTTGTCAGCCACAGGTCAGGGGGCATCGGGCAGGAGGTCAGGTGGCATCGAGCTGGAGGTCAGAGGGCATCAGGCTGGAGGTCAGGGAGCATTGGTGGGAGGTCAGGGGACATCAGGAGGGAGATCAGGGGCATCAGGCAGGAGGTTGGGGAACATCAGGCAGGAGGTCGGGGGGCATCGGGAGGGAGGTTAGCCTGCTGTCTCATCTAGTCAAGGAGGAGTCTGATCGGAGTCGGGGCTGAGGGCAGTGCCCGGCACATCCTGACACTGAGCTTGGAGACAAGGACCCAGGGCCCAAAGTGGGGGACCTGGGGCTTGAATCCAGTCTGACCCCGGTCTGGAAAAGGGGGTCAGGAAATCAGGAGACAGAGACAGAGACAGAGAGACAGTGAGACAGAGACAGGGAGATACACGGAGACAGAAAGAGAGAATGGCCCGCGCTGCTGACCCTGAAAAGCACAGGTTTCCGTATGAAGAGGCCCTCCCTGTGCCTCCCCCTGCACTCCAGATCAAAGCCTGCCCTTCACAGTCGCCTGACCCCCTGTGTGTGGCGTGGAGGGCAGGCCAGCACGCCACCCCACCGGGCCCTGACCTGCGGGCAAGGTCATGGCTGGGAAGTAGTCCAGGCTGTGGGGCGCTGTTGCCATCTAGTGGGCATGTGTGGTTCTGCAGGCCCTGGGAGCCCCGCCCCTGCTCTGTAGGACCTGGAACCCCGCCTGCCTCTTTTGGACGCCTTACCTGTGTGTAGGTTCACACCTCACTTCCCACAGTTCATGGTCAAAACAGTAAGTGACAGCGGTGACTGCTGTTCCCTAGAGTGGAGGCCACATCTCCACGCCCGTCCTGTGCCCAGGGCCCAGTGCACCCCCTCACACCCAGGCTCAGGTCCCGTGCTGTGCCCTCACCTTGACAGCTTTGAACAATACTGGCCAGGCATTTCTGGACCACCCTCAGTCTATTTGGGCTGCTCCGATGCTCCCTCGTGATTCTCTGCGGTGTGCATTTGGGGATAACTGAGCAGAACTAAAGCACCTTCTCACTGGGGGATGCTGACAACGTGACCTTGACCCCAAGGCTAGGCCTCCTCTTCTGTCAGAAGTGACTCACCCAGTCAGCCCACACTCAAGTGGAGGGGCTGAGGGCTGTGACTCCAGGGCCTTCACAGGGCCCATGACCCCCGCCGGGCCTCCAAAGGGGCTGGTAGCTCACCCGGGTCCCAGAGCTGCAGTGAGAAGGTGGCTCTCCACCCCACAGGTGCATCACCTGGAGAAGGCACAGGGTGGACTGAACGCAGCTCTGACACATCCATTCAAGACCCGGGTGGAAACAGGAACAGACCAGGCGGGAAGGGGAAGAACAGGCTGCCGGTGTCTGGTGATGACCTGAGCGGGAGCCCTTCTGGGGCTGGAGGCTGGGAAAGTCTCCTCAGACACCTCCTGGCAACACAGAGCAAGCCATGCATCCCAGCCTGGGGATGCCCCTCCTGCCAGCCCTGACCCACCTGGATGAACCCCTGGAACAGCCCCCACATCCTGGGTGAGGGTCTCAACCCCCCATCTGCAGGCCAGGGCACGCACACCCTGGGTGAAGAGCGCAGCCGAGTGCCCGTGGGTCTGGGGACAGGACTCAGTCTCCCAAGTGGCCAGGCTTCCACGATTTCTCCCCAAGGAAAGGTGAATCCCGAAGCCTGTGGTGGTTGCTTCTAACATATGCAGCCTATCTTCCCATGTCTCATCCCCCAATAAATAGATGGTTCTGTGAGAGGCATGAACTCTTGGACATGGTCAGGCTGAAGCTCCTCCCAGACTGAGGGTCCACCCAGGACTGAGGCTCCTCCCAGGCTGAATGCTCCTCCCGGGACTGAAGGTCTTCCCAGTCTGGGGGGTCCTCCCAGGACTGTGACTCCTCCCAGGCTGAGGGTCCTCCCAGGCTGAGGGTCCTCCCAGGACTGTGTCTCCTGCCAGTACTGAGGCTCCTCCCAGGCTGAGGCTCCTCCCAGGACTAAGGCTCCTCCCAGGCTGAGGCTCCTCCCAGGCTGAGGCTCCTCTCAGGCTGAGGATCCTCCCAGGACAGTGTCTCCTGCCAGGACTGAGGCTCCTCCCAGGCTGAGGCTCCTCCCAGACTGAGGGTCCTCCCAGGACTAAGGTTCCTTCCAGGCTGAGGCTCCTCCCAGGCTGAGACTCCTCCCAGGACTAAGGTTCCTCCCAGGCTGAGGCTCCTCCCAGGACTAAGGCTCCTCCCAGGCT